TTTCAGTTTAAGATACTTTTGTGTCAACCACCCATATTGCCATGATATTAAAGACAAACTTTGCCCTCTCTTCTAGCCTCAAGTATCATTCACTCAACTTTAAACTCTTACATCCAATCCAAGTTAAATATCATACCAGAACAACACCAACTCTCCATCAGTAATTTGCAGGAGAGTTCAAACGGGAACAAATCAGTCAACTCTGTAACCTCAGATGTCAACAACAGCTAAAAACACACATAATTAAGACATGAGAGGTTATTAAGCAGTGAGGTGAACAGGTGAATAAAAAAAGGAGACGTTTCATTGAGTAAGTTTACACTTCAACTGACCCATTTTTCCTCTGACTAAACCTTTCTGTGTATCAATCTTTCAGCTCAGAGGGCTGATTCACATGACCATCTTTCAGAGAAAACAACACTAAGAAATAAACTCTTCTTCAGTTTTTTATTAAAGACAATTTCTCCTGTTGATAACAAAATAATAAACTCAGCAGCAGTCCGCTATGTCTCTGCTCTGCAGCCCTTGACATGGGCACCCTGACTGACGCCATGGCAACGTTAACCAGCCACTCAGACAACCCTGAAACAACAACAACCCAACTAGCATCACAAGGTGGAAACCTCCTGGTAGACAGACAGACCCTGAGTCATGCAGATGTGATAGCTGTGAAGACTGAATGAAAAGCTTGTTTGACTTTATAAATCAAACTTGCCAAGAATGAATGATGACAACAACATCCCTCAGCTACATAATAAAATATAACGAGAAGATGCAAGTCCATCTGAAGGTTGTTATAGTTGTGGTTTCAGCTTGTTGGGATTTGCTGATTTTATTGTGGTAGTTATATAATTTTTATATGCCAATATTATCTATTGATCAAACAAATTAAGACATTAAAAAACAACTTGTTGTAGTCAAGGAACTGGTGATTGGCTGAGAGGTTTAAGAAATTCAAATATCAGAAAACTGCAGGATCTTGGACAAGAATATGAGGCAGCCAACAAATGGTAAAAGTCAGCCAGTCAGTCATAGGGGTCTGGAGAGATGCCCCTCCTCATTCTTACTGCACAATTTTCAAGATGCTGCCAGCAAGAATCAGCCCATATAAAGAGGATGAGGATGTGGGGCTGGACTTGCATGTTTATCTGTAATCATGCTCAGATTGATTTGAAGCGGAGGCTTGTAGTCATAAAATTAACATGCATGAACCGCAACTTGTTAATCTAAACTATCTCATTAGAATCAGCAGCCAATTCACTAATTTTCTCAGAGCACAAGGTGAATCACAAAATGTCTTATCTTGTCTCTATGACATCCTGACAAGACAGATGCACGTAAAGAGAGAAAACTTTCAATGTTTTGCTTGAAATATTGCTGCTGATCAACTGTAGCTGCAACTACTGATTATTCCTAGATCAATTTATTATGTATCACTCGGGCCCTCAAATGTGTATTAAACCTGACACGGTTCCTAAAGCACAAGATGAAACCATCAGGTTGCTTATGATGTCTGAGCAACACTTCAAACATTATTTTAAATATCACTTAAACAAATATCACACAATCCTCAGAGCTGATGAGCAGGGGCCACAGAACATATGGGACACGTGTGGGATTTGTGCTTCAACTGCCACAATACGATAATAATTCATTCTAACTGAAGGACTTCGTGTTTCAGCTGCAGGTATAATGGGTTTGAGGATGGACAGGACAGCTCGAACAGAAGTCCCCATGCAGACACACACACACGTGAATGAACCTGCACTCAGACAGTTCGCATTAAGCTTATCCCTCCTGTGTTTTCCAATGAGGAGGCACACAGAGACAATTGAAGGTCCCACATGTGACAGACACACTGCACCGACTCCTGTTGCTCTGCAAGTTGTGTAACGTGAACTCCGCCGGCTGACACCGCTCGGGATCGTTTCCGCTCGGTTCAATCCGCCCAAGAGCAACTTTTTATCTGGCACCATACTCACCAGCTTACTGCACTTCATTCACCATGAGCGTAACCTTCCCTCTCACCGTGCACACACCGCCGCAACGACCAGCTTCCGCTTCCCGGTCGACGAGGGACGCTCGATATGATCGTCCCCGGCGGGGAGGTGAGGGGGCCGGTTAGCAGGTTATTACTGGCCGCTGCGTGTTTCAGCCAACTGACATCTATTATAACGTACTTTTAACAGTAAATCAAGGCGGTAACACACCCTTCACATGAACTAATGGACAGCTTTACATTAGAACAAATCACCCTTTTTATGACCGCCCCCTGTCTTCATGCAGGCAGTGAGCAGCTCCACTGAAGGTGACCTTCAGTTCCTGGCTCTCACATGTCGTAAACGAACATGTGCGTCGTTACGGGTTCGTACAACACAAGCGGCTCCACTGTGATAACTCCACGAATCATGTGCAACACTGTCGACTCATACTTTACCCGTAAAACACCCGGTTTCACCGCCTGCGCTCATCTCTGCGACACTAGGTGACGCGCCGACATTGAGTGGAGCAGCTGCTTGCTAGTTAGCCGGCGAGCTAACTAGCCGCGTACTGAGCGACGGTGCTAATGTTAGCATGCCGGTGTTTGGGTTAGCCTTCTATGCTCCCGGTTTCAGTGTCAGGCTCGATTACAGCTATGACACACGGATGTAGACTTGGATTTGATCCAGTGGAGGATGCTCGCTTGCCAGTAGCATAAACATGCCCAAACATATGTATGTGTACTGCGGATTAGCAGGTGATGCTAGGTGCTTTTAAACTTCTAGAGGCTACCATGGAGATAGTTGGGGGGAGAAGGAGGGGTCAACCCCTATGGGTCAACCTCAGAGACCATCACCTTGGGTTTGAGGACTTTGAAGTCACAGAAAGCATGGAAGCTAATGTCTCCAGCTTTAGTTGATGCTAAATGGGACAATAACACATAGTACACTTAACAATGTTCTTTGCACATGAGTGTAGGGTGTATGTTAACGATCAGTTCATGCATCGTGACAAGTGGAATCAACGTGTGTTTGATAAATGTTAAGTGTGATGACAGAAGATACGAAGCAGCCTCTGTAGCTGCAGAGTCTCACCACATTCGCAGGAATCCTTCAGCCGCGTCTTGCTGGATTCGTGATAGGCTCCATCCCCGGCGTCATCCGCAAGATCAACCGGATTACAGTTAGGCACTGACGCCGGGATGTCATCTGTCTTGCTCACCATGGTCGGCAGTCAGTGTGGCTCCAGACACCCCCCAGCAGGTTGCTCGAATGTATGAGACTTGTTTAAGAAATGCAAAACAACCGAAAGAAATCCCTGTCTGCTTCTCCGGCTAACGCAGGCTAGCTGGCTACATGCGAAGGGTACGAGCTTACAAAAACAAGTCTACGGAGGAAGGACAGCGCTGTACATGGTGGTGATCACACGTGGTTCTCTCCTCCCTCCTCTTGACCTCTTTGCCTTTGCGTTGCACTTCCCCACCCACTGAGCGTGGCGCTACGGAAAGCCGCATGCGACAAATGTTTTTTTACCTTCCTATTCTCTTTTTTTTTCTTACAAACTAATCTTTACTTGATCTAACAGTGGAGAGTTTCTCATATACAAGAAGAGTAAATGACCCTGGAAGACAAAGAGCTGCAGCACTGTGACTGTTATCAACAACACAAATCAATTATTAATTACTAGCACTTACCTTTGACAGTTTGACACACGTCAGTGGCTGTTACACTGGCCACTCCCACTGAGAGAAACAATTTACAACAATGACCTGTAAACAACTGATCACTGACCATTGTATAGATATTTGACAGTGATCACCGTAGACCGAGATTCCCAAAATGGGGTGCGGGGACCCCAAATGGTGCAACTGAATGGGGAATAGTTATTTTCACTAGAATTTAACCTATAAGAAACATAGATAATGTATGACTACTTTGTTCCTGAATTGTATACACGTACTGAAATAACACATTTAAACAAAAAAATCTTGGCAAATGGGAGTCTGTGGTCTAGGTTTGAGAACTGCTGCCATAGACTGTATATGAAGATGATGACACATCTCCATTCCTCCCAATGTCCAGAGATTAAGTAAAAATATCCCGTACACAAATACCAAAAGTTGTGCACATTTGGAGCCTGTGCAGCTGCGATAAGACATGGAGTCGATGTATCAATGTTCCTCTGATGCACACGCTCAACCAATCGAGAGTCAGTCTCAGCTGTCAATCATGACCTTTCACCCCATTTTAACAGCATCAAATAATTCATCAAAACCAAACCTACCGGGAAAAAATAGCACATGACCATCAGTTTGATAAGAACTTCCTTAAATGACAGAAAACATCTTTGAGAATATCGACATGCAACTTTCTATGTTGGCTTGAATATTATTTTATCATTTACTGAATACACTGAATTACTGTATAGATAAAAAGAGAGAATAATGGAAAGATCCCCACATTTTCACAATGCATAATCTATAGCATGTATTAGTCCTAAGTGATACTATTACTTTGTTACATGAGTTTGATTATGTTTTACTTTGTTGGTTTGCAGCGAGTGAGACACTGCCTTAGTGGTTTTGTTTCCTTCTGTTGTGTTGTTTAGTTATGCAAGATTAGGTGGCATATGTACATGAGATGCACTGTTTCTATCAATCAATCTGTTTGCGAATGGTTAAAACTGCTTTTACTCAATCAACTAATTTATTCATTTTTGTAGAATAAAACGGTCTTGTTCAATATGCAGCATGTTTCTGACCCTATGTGTTTTATAATGTATGCAACAGTTATTTTTGGCTGATCAGGTTCTTCGATATCATGTGTTGACGGTCCCCTATATGGTCAGCGACGTAATAGAATCCAACCAAATAGACATCAGATTTCTCTTACAACAAATAATTGTGGTTGACTAAGATAAATGATCAAATTCCACCTGTCTGAGAAAACATAAATCATTGAATCATCTGGAAATGTGTTCTCTGTTTCAATAAACCACAGACAGCAGACTTGACAATCCTCCATTTTATTCCAATTATATGTACAGTAGATCAGTATAGGAAGCTTAACACAGTATATGCGGTAACCAGTCAGTAGCTTGTGCTCTCCCAATGACCAAAAACCGTAGAAAGACCCAGAGCAGCACCTCTGCTTCCAACATTGGGTACCACACAGCATTATTGCTAGAGCCCATGTAACATAACCCTAAAAATAAAAATGTTGACCTCAACCAGGATGAGACAGAGATGCATCTTTATTATGAGGATTAGAGTTATGATATAGGCATTTAGAAAGATGGAAGACGTCCTCTGTGGGCGTGAGTAAATTATCACATTTCTTGTAGTGTTTGAGTAATGAAGTTAGACATGCTCTAAAGATTAGGAAAAAATGAGGCAGTGAAGATTTACTCCCTTTAGCTGAAATATTCATGAAAAGACATCTTCATAAAGACACCACACCATTTGTCTTTGTGTTCATTTTGGTGGTGGGCCTATTTGGCTCATTAGCATTTTTCCCTCAAAGCCGACAAACAAATGATCAGTCTCAGATTTGCAGAAACTGCAGCTCGGGTGCATATACAGCAGCCACTATTTTGATTATTCATCAGAGATGTTACATAATACTGAAGTGTGAAATGTGAAATCAGTGTACACGAAGGTGGAGAGTTTAATCTACCTGTCGTTTCGTTTGGATGACAAGTGGAGTGATGATGTCATGAGGTCTAACAGTCTCTTGGGAAAAAATACAGTTTTGAAGAAGACAGCTCTAAACTGTCTCATAAAACTCAAGGAAGAATAGTGCACAGTTATGCTAATAGATACCAGCTCAGAGGTGAACGAAAACCCTCGGTACATTTGCATTTTTGCTAAAAAAGAAGTCAATGTTTCATCCAGACAGTCTCATGCTGCATACATATGCCCGTTTGCTTAAAGCAGCTTTACACACAGCATATCCTTGATTCCTACATGCCTCCTGTAAACTGTAACACAATTAATTATGTGACAAATCAACAGAACTTTTTAAAAATCAATTCAGAAAAATATTCAGCAAAACATACAGTTGCAATATACAAAGTTAAACAATCTTAATAATCTATTTTAACACTTCAAGTGTACTTAATCCAGTGGATGTAACCTACTAATAATATATAAATATATTGATATATTGCTTTATTGAACATTTACTACTAAAATAGGATCCTATACTTCTAACCAGTAGCTGTAGAAGGCAAGAAAAGCCTCACAGCAACTAACCACAATTAAATTCAGAATTAGCTTGTGTCAGAGTTACTGATGTTCAGTCACATCCTGGCTCAAGTGTTGACCGGATAAAATACGTTCAAATCAAGAAAAACCTTTATATGCAAACCCCACAGCATCTTATAAAAGTGTAGTAGAAACAAAAGGACACACTACTTGAGTAGAGAAATGTCATATATACGTTTCCATATTTTGTTCACAGTCCTGCTTTGCTAACATCAATTCTCCTCTATAGTAAGGCAGCAGCTACAGTGGGGTATTCATCAGAACATTGAATTAATAATCAGCACTCATACATGTAAGCGATAACACGAAAAGTATGTCCTGCATTAAATACAGTCATTGAAAGTGTTAGTTTGATTTTCTTTCTACTGCTTCCTTTTCCCAAGATGCCATTTGCTCATTGTTACACCTGGGGCAACCATGTGCACATGACAGTGGACTCATGTACACTCCATTCATGTTCAGCTGAGCCGGCCGTCTTGTATTTTAAAGTATCTTTGGGGATTTGTGTGAAACAGAAAATGAACAAAGTGCAGGTACAGACCATCCTTCAGCTGAAAACAGAACTGGACCTACAGTTATGCTCCTGTTTGTCCATTTTTCCTGAGGTGAAAAAAACCCACCACCCCAACAACCTCAACCACAAATGAGCTGAAGAAGTAGTAGTGTGTGTGTTTATTACACAAACCACACCTGAAGCCAACTGATTGTAACCTGAATTGTGGTCTATTTATACAAAACAGTCACTACAGAGGAGAAGTTGCAAATGTCTTGGTGTGTAACTTTGAGTAACATAAATACATACTGTGTGTTCAGCCCTGGAGGGAAAGAATGCACTGGGCAACAGTCACAACAACTAACTGAACTTTTTATCCACCTACCAGCCCATGGAATTGTGTGGATAGGTGAGGCATGAACCGACAAAGCTCCACATTACAATTTGGAGATCTGGATAAACAGGCGATTATTTCACTCTCTTAAGCATGGTGAGAGAGGGCACCTTGGAGAAGTTATGTGCTGTCCAAGTGCCCTTGTAATTTAAAATGCAACAGCCTGTTAATTCTGTCTTCTGGAGCACTTTCGTCTGTTGTTGGGTTTTAGGGCCAATCAGAATATATATTCTGTAAATAAGATATAAAATGTAAAACACAATGAAACAATATGGTAACAGAGTGGTGTTCAACTTCACAAATTCAAAATGTAACCAAATGTGAAATATATCTTCCTTAAAATGATCACATGGAGGACATCACACAGGACGTGCCCCTTACTTCAGCTATTCTCAACATGTGGCCACATGGAGTGATTTATGGTTGGCATGAAAGGTCACAGTTGGTCGGGCCACACAGCCTGGCTCGTAGTCCACCCAAAATGGCTGCTGCCCTCTTCAAACGCACCCTCACCGTAAATCTAAAAGGGATTGCTTTATAATAAGGCCCCACAGTATACAGAGCATGTGGCAGCAGTGTAAACAGATAGATCTGATTTAATTTAAGAAGTGATACTCACTGAGTTTCTCTTTGTTGATTGAGGTTATATCAAAGTCCATCTAAAAAATTTTCTATGATAAGTGTAATATAATTCAATAGCTAAACCCAGTCTCTGTATCAATTGAGTCAAGGTGCAGAACAACAGTTAACAGCATTAACAGTCTGACATTATATTAATACAGTGATCACACTGCAGTTAAAAGCACAAGTCACTGTAGTTCCTAGTCTGCCTTCGTCTCAGCAGCAGGGGGCACTGTAGCTGAAGACATCAGTCTGGCAGCTTCATCTTGGGGCTCCACTGGCCCCTCCCCACCTCCTTCCTCCTCATCCATGCAGAGTGGGGGCTGTCTCTGTGCCACAGTGTGCCTGGATCGAGCTCTTTGCCTTCGAGGGTGAAGGAAGAGCGCAGGGTCCGGCATGGCTGTGGGCTCTGCAGGGCCCGTCACTCTCTCTATGGGAACGCACTCCCGGGCACGCTCCACCCTCGAAGATGCCCTGCTGCTCTTACGCTTCGGTTTAACCACAGGGGAGGAAGGGGAGGCTCCTGACGGCATGTGTGGAGAAACAGGGTTCTGCTCAGCACTGTACTGGGCCCCCTGAATGTTGGCCCTGGCGAGGAGCACTTGCCTCTGCTGCATCCGCTGGTGGTGCAGTTTCTGCCTCGCAGCGTGCAGCTGGAAGGAGAGGTACGCTGCTGCCTCTGTTTGTTTCTGCAGCTCTGTGTTGAGGATGGTCGAGCAGTGGCTGCGGCGTTTGAGCTCCTCCAGGAAATGGCGCTCTTTTTCTTTGAGATTGGCTCTGAGGGCTCCCACCAAAGCCCCTTTGTGAGTCAGCTCTTTACGCAGCTCTCCTAAGGTGCAATCCTGATCTTCAAGCCGGTTCTCCACATCGCGACAGTGGGCTTCCAGGAGTTCCTCTTCCTCCTGTAACTCTGACACGGTGAAGAAATGAAAATGTTGAAACACGTTAGAATATGTTTTGAATAAAACCTCTGTGTATGTGCTCAACACAATAATTCACAAACTGAGTCAAATAATGTGAATGCTCTCTCCACAATGCACTGTGTGTTCTTTACTTTGTGACACATTGTTACAATCTCACCTATATATGCAAAACTGAGTCTTTGTCACTTTCATCATCAGCACACGTGTGAACCAGAGACACAATTCCAACATTATCCAGATCATATTCTTGGCACAGATGTGTTCATTTAAATATTATATGAAAGTAATAACAGGACCAAATCATGACTATGTTTATTATTACACTAATTTCCTCTAAACCAATTAGAAACTAAACCAAATCATTATTTGTTTTTTTAATTCAATAATCAATCGTCAAAATTGCTGATCACTGCATTTCTGGTAATCAATGTGTATTTTGACTTAGTTTGGTCCATGTCCCATCCACTAACACAGAGGAGAATAGGTTTATGACCAATACTGCAGCCAGCCACCAGGGGGCAATCACATTATATCATCCATCTTCATAAACAATAGATTTATATTTTGTTATTTTATATTCTGTTTATCTCCTCCAAGTTCATATCCGAGGAAAGTAATTAAAATGTCAATTTTTTTAAAAGCAAACACAGTTAATGCTGCACTATACAAACCTTTGTGTACTGTACAGTATCATCATTCCCAAGATGGCTACAAGGACAGACTAGTGCTTCAGGTCTCCTCAGCCCAACCTGCAAGGTTTCATTTAACAATGTATATATATGTTCTGCTTGTGTATATATCCTTTGTGCTCTTTGATTCCTGTGAAATTCTCCAGGGGGATGAATGAAAAGCCCTGAGTCAGTGCAGCAAACTCAGGGCTGACTGAGCTGCAGCTCTCCAGAGGAGAAGGAGATTACATCCACAGAGGCTGATGCTGACACCTCTGACTGTAGAACTAGGACGAGGTTTCTGGGTGAGAGAATCTCAATGGGTAGTGGGAGTCCAGATTAGGCTTGAATGTAATAAGGTGCTTCAAACATCACTCTTTCCTTTTATGACATCTCTTTCATCCTTTTCTTTCCTTTTCTACATCCTTGTCCTTCCATATTTTCCCTCTAGTATTCTCTATGTCTCCCTTTGTCTTCCACAGTGGATCCTCTGGGTTCGATCAGTCTCAGATTTTCTTTCGCCCATCACCACACCCTGGTTGAGCTCTACACTAAACTAATGTCCACCTAATGTGTTATTCACTTCCCATAGTAACCTTTTCTTCTCCACCATGTCTGCAGCTCAACACATCCTGATCCTGCTGCCTTTACCTTTTCCATTAATTGCTCTCTTCTATATACCTCTCTCTCCACCTCTTCTTCCTTCTCTTTTCCTGACTCTATGCTTCCCCTCCCTTTCAGCAAAGTCTGTAAGCAGACACCCCCGCCGGGACCCTGGCGGAAAAATGAGAGCAGGAAAAAGAAAAAGAGGATGGATCAATTTTGTCGAGGTGGGAGAGGAGAGAACATGGGGCCATGTTGTATTAATGGACAGGGGGATAACCTGTGCTGGAAAAAAAGATGGGGTCTAATGTCTGAGTAATGTAGCCACAGACACACACACATGCACACACACACACACACATTTGTACTTCTATCTTAGACACAATAGATGGTCCTGCGAATGTCAGCTATGTTCCAAGCAGATCGGGGCACGCTGTCTTTGCAGTGTATAAATCTTCATACGGCCATGACCAATTTTTTTCAAGCAGAAAAATGTGCACATGTGAGGAACAAAGCAAATAAACACTCACACAGGGGAAAACACAGATGCGCTTTGCACTCATTGTTTGAAAGAGACTTCCTGCAGCTTGTGAATGAACAGACAGAGAGATATAAGGAGGCAGGGGTGAAAAGAAGGAGGAGGGCGGCTGACAGGGATCTGTCCCTGGGGGGGATGGGAGGTTGGGAAGGGCAGAGGGAGGCAGAGATGGATGCAGGCACAGAGAGAGATGGTCGATTGGGGGTTGAGTGCAGCGAGAGAGAAACTGGCCCAGAGAAACGTAAACATGTGTCTGACTCTGTGTCTCCAAACCAGAAGACGACAAAAAATCATAAAGATCAATTCATCATTGTGAGTTTTACCTAATTGGCTTCTGCCTGAAGGAACCACCTTCAGCTCACTCGTCAATTCTGAAAAACACAAGAGAAAAACAGGAGAGAGACATTAAAACCATGTGAAATCATATTGTTAGAGCATAAATACAGACGCTGAGTGGTTCTGAAATAAGCTGCATGTACGCAGACGTTTCCTGTTGGTTAACACAACAGATGCTTGATACAGTTTCCAGCACATCACTGATCTCATACATATTTTATGAGGCTAAATCTGAAACTTTACATCAAAAGAATTTGTGCCAAAGACTTTCTGCCAGTGATGCCCTGCTTCATTACTTGTCGCAGTGAGCATAAAAAAAAGTCTTTACTGTAACTTCAATAAGATGTATAAGCACTATTAGCATTCCTCTGTGAAATCAATACACGCTTAAATAAAAACTACTGCCGCTGCAATTTTCTTCAAAGAGCAATGCAAACCAAACAAATAGGAACCTATAGTGAGATAGAAATGCTTGGTATTTCTTTGGTGTGTTTCAATATTCTGCACACTGATGAATTAGAAATATCATGTTATTTGTTACTTCTAAATATAGCTTATAAATATAACACTCTAGATATTTATTTTATGGCTTGATATAATCAATAACTTCTGCATTCAGATGTCTTGTGTGATTAAAAATGACAGATTCTCAGCAGCTTTTTTGGGGGTTTTGGACAAATTGGGTCCAGACATTTTCTGGAGTTTCAGATTTGAAGAACACAGCAAGAGAATTGCATTCTTACATATAGTCCCTCTGAATAATTTCAAGACTTCAGTACATTTGTGAAAGCAGGGTAAAACAGACATGATTGTAGTAGCCGTCATGAGATCCCCCTGCGGCATGATTAGGATTATCCAAATATTACGTGATATGATATCTGGCACACTGACATTTTTAGATTCTGGATGGATTATATCTCATGTTCTGGCATTACAGCAACTAATGGTTCATGTGTTTGAGAAGATAATGTATCAGACTGGTTTTCAGTTATTAGTGGTTTTGGATTGTCCCTGATAAAAACATTAGTCTCCAGATGAAACCAGACAGCTGCCTGGTCGTGTCTGGACTGTCACTCAGTCAGTCAGTGATGCCTGACTGTGGGGAAATCTTGACCTCAAGTTCTCAACACAACCTTTGGTTTCACTTATAGGAATCCATTAGCCATCAATCTTTAAATAAAGTCTATTATACAGAATCATTTTGGAGGAATATGAATTTTATTTTTAGTTATTATCCTCATTCACAACTACCAGAAGCATTTATGAAATTTCATTTCACTGCAGGGAGCCAACTGTGAGAAATATTTCTTGAAAACAGAGTCACATAAAGGAAAAGAGGTGCTCAGCACATTTCAGCATCGTTTGTGTGTGTGTGTGTGTGTGTGTGTGTGTGTGTGTGTGTGTGTGTGTGTGTGTGTGTGTGTGCATGGCTTTGTGAATCAGACTTATCTCCTGCAGTCTCACTGAGCATTTCAGTGTTTTGTTTCTCGGCTCAACCTTTGGCGTTGTAAAGATATCTTGAAGGACAAACTGCAGGAACACACCCTCAAATAATTGATTTCTGTGACACACACATCATATCAGAGAAAAGAGCCCCTTCATGCCAATAAGGAGTAAAGGAGGTAGAGGTCAGCAATACAACAACAGAGATAATACTGCCTGCTCTCACCATCAGATCAACCTAGCAGTCCCCTTCCAGGCTGCACACAAGCGAGGTGGCAGCAAACACCTATCACACCCAAGTGTCGTTGAGCATTTTGGACCAGCTCCATCTAGTTTTTTCTAAATCAGAAGAAACCATTCAGAGGAGAGGGGGGTGAGCCTTTCAGGGATTGTTTGTGGAAGTGTGCAGGATAATCAACCAGTAAGAAAGCTCCAATGAATCGAAGCAGCAACGTTTTGACATTCAAGTTTCTCCACATCAACCAAAACTTTACATTTCGACCTATGATTAAGATCATAATTACATTTTTGAGAGAATTTTCAGTCTCATTTTCCTGCCTACTGGAAATCCCTGTTCCTGTGCCGCAGTTATTTGGATCCTATGTTGCCTTAGAAAACAGATTTTCCACTATGGCATGAAAGCATCATAAGAGGCTTTAAAGACGCTCAGCAGAAAGAGGAGATGGTCCTGGGTGTTTCAGTGAATGTAGCAGAATAATGTCCCTGCTTATGCAACCCTGCAGAAACCTCTGAGGAGTGTGGAAATAAAGGTCTGTGTAACAGGCAGATACAAACTGCTGAGCAGATGCATGACTCCATACACACACACACAGAGTATTTATGTAACCAAAATACCCTTCGGATGGATTACTAAACGCTATGGAATCCATGGATTAACAAAACCATGATGGATATGTTTGTGTGCATCTTTCCAAGGATTTATTTGTGTGACAATAAATGTGTGTGTGTTTGTTGGTCTCTTCCATGTGTTTGTGTTCAGATTGCTGTCTTTACAGCACATTCATTTCATGGTTTCAGGTCAGATCAGATAAGATTATTGCAATGTTCATATCACTATGTTTAAACTGTAGTTGAGAGCAGCTGAGTGGGAAAACTGTTTGACTTCTGACTTGGAGATATCAGGAATCCCAGACATTGGGAGAATGTTGACAGAATAACTGAAATTGCACCACTGCTGAGAGAAAATCCAACATTCACAATAATTCATTCTGTACATTTTGTTTAAACTATACACTGTTTGATTGTAACCTTCTAAAAACAGCAGCAAATACCTTAAACAACACAATCAGCTGAAGCTGATGTGACATTTTGTCTGATGTGTGATGTGATATTTTAGCACTTAGGTTATAGGATCATTGTGTGAGCAAGTCAGAATATCAGATGTTCTTATCTGTATTGCAGGAATACAGCATGATGTGAGGGTGTTGGCTTTATGCATGTAACTGCAATAGTAAAGGAAAGGGACAGCCTCCAGAAAACTGATAAAATCAAAGTTCCTCACAAGTATAATAGAAGTGTGTGTGTCTGTGTGTGTGTGTGTGTGTGTGTG